AAAAAAAAAACAATTGTTGCGTTTATAATATAACATGCATTATTGTAAAATTATTTTCATAATGTAACTTATTTTTGAATTCAATTAAATTGCTTTCGTTGCTACTTTTTAACATTAGATGTTCTTATTAGTTCGCGTTTTAAGCAAAATTTTCGAGTAATCTAAAACACGGAGGCCATGTTATCATCCTTTCTTCTATTCTGTTCCCGAGGAAAGCTCATAACCGCTAATTATAATAAGTTAAATCGGGCGAAACAGGGGAATAAAGAATATTGTCATGTCGTGAAAGCAAATGTTCAGGAAATATTTCACGCAATGCTATCGTAGTATACGAAGACGTGCCACATTGTCGGAATTATACATTATTAACGTCAATTCCATTATTAATAAGACTATCCTCTGTCTTAATTTCTTAAATGCTCATCGTTGCAAATTTGCGACGTTCTGCATCATTAATTCTAAATTTATGGCTTAAAAAAAATTATTCATCTGAAGGCTAAACTCCAGAATATGAGTTGTAACAATTAACGATACTCGACTATTAATCCTTTAATAGTGTTTAACGATTAATAAGGACGAATATATTCATTATACGAAAAAAAATAAACTAAAATACTTTGTAGCATTCTACGTTTCGTTATAATTCCAAATTTAATTGCAATTAATTAATTAATAAGAAACTTATACCGGCATTTGTTGATTAATTAAATCAAATGTTAAATCAAAGTCGATTAAATGAAATATCAATGTAATATTAAAATATTAAATTAAAGATTAATGAATCATGATTTTGTTATAACTTAATTCGAGTTTAAAGTTCTTCTGCTTTTAACGAGTATAGTCGTCGTAAGGGTTAAAAAAAAAAAATTCTTTCTAACAGAGATAAAAGTTCTCATAGAATCTCAGATTTCTCAGAGCTCCATTCCGTCCGAAGTATATCGCGAAGCTTAAGCCAGAGATTGTGATTTTGAACGTATCTTAAAATTTCGCATGTACAAGATATGGCACGGATCAGTATTAATGCATTGGCTTGCAATTTTCTTCTCGGCCTTCAGTAAACATTATTCATTATAGCATGCTACATTGTCGGATATAAAACATCGAAAGCATTGTATATAATTTGTATATTCGTCGATCTTCAGCTTTTAAAGAATAAGTATTGCAAATTCAAATTCGTATCGCGTAGATCAATTTGTGCTTGTTCGTTCGAATCGAAACCATAATTCCTATCTACGAGTGCAACTCAATACCATGTACTCATAAGGGTTAAGCTTTATTTCACTTAATTATTGATGCGTAAGAAGAATACGCGAACATGTTAATGCATTTACGCAATTTCCGTAATCTCCCGAGACAAATATATGACATCCTACAAATAACAGTAAAAAGTATTAAACATCGTTTTAAATAACAAGATTTAATTAGGCGATTGTTTGTTTTGTTTGTAAAAAAAAAAAAAAAGTAATAATTTAACGTTTTCTGGTAGCAGGTGGTTTCTTTTTACTGTTGCGATATTCCTGTCACTCGGGAAGCCTGATTTAACCAGGCGTTGTTTGTTTCGTTAATTACGTGTTTCGTGTTCTTGTTATACATTAATAATCGCACGGAATAAAACTTGAATATGTTAATATGCCTGTTCTGTCGTGTATTTTTTGATACATGTGCATTTTCAATAGCCGTATATTGAAACATGTATGAAATGCATGCGTGTAACACGTGTATTTAAACACATACATTTTTACGTAAATATCATGTACATTACGTACATTTATTACATTTATTATTTATATTTGTTGCATTTTTGTAATATCTATACAGAGTGTTTCCGCATTCCAGCGTTCGAACAGTGTATTCTGCAAGCAAAAATAAAACGACAATGTCGTTTTGCTAAAAACGTCTATAAATGCGTTGAAAAAGTTAAAATAAAATTGTTAATGTTACTTCGAAGTACCATCTCATTTTATTAACGAAAAATTAATATCGAAGCATACAGTGTTCGCCGAATTTCATACAGATTCAATTTTTTCTTTGCACTCTTCTTTGATTCTTCTGATCAATTCCTTTCGTGTAAATTTTTGCTCTCGAAGATAATGAATATATTTTTTTTTTTTAAAGTAGAAATCTAATATGTAGATGTACGAGAAATATCGGTTCTTCTTGACTAATCCATCCGATTATCCATTGAAATTAAATTTGTCGAACTTTATATTTTATGGCTTTTTAATGAAGCATTTGTGAACATTTTAGTCCTTATATAGATACACACATACTTTTTTATTTATATAGAATACACTAGCAAAGAACACTAAAATTAAAAAGAAAAAGCTGTATAGTATATTATACACACATGTATATATACATATATACATGTCAGAATAAAATGAACTTCCGTCTTACTATTATAACTATCATTTATTATAAAAAGAAGCTTAAATCTTTTGTTTCATGCAATTGCCGAATTCTATTTGACGTGGAATCTATTAAATTTTTAAATAAATGTCCTTTAGTAAATTTGGCAACACTCAAGCCTTCATATTCTTGTAATCAATAATTTTTAAAATCAAGCAATACTAACATTTCTTCTCTTTATATTTTTTACACTTTATATCGAATTCTTCAGAGCTTCAGAACACAGTGAAGAATTTTCTTGTATCTTCGTTTATTACACCATCATTCACCACGCATTTAAATACACGTGTAATCTTTATTTCAAACGCTTACGATTTGATCGATAATCCTTTCTCTTCCTCGCTTGTGTTCTTCAATTTCTCGTGGCCATCCGATTTCTTTCGGTAGTTTTTGGTTCGTAGATCGGACGGTGATCGAACCCCGTATTGTATTTTTACAGACGCGTTCTCCAGGAGAAGGGCCCCGACATGCCGCAATACACGTAAGTCTATCGAACAAGCCTACGCAAACAAATCGTCGATTGTGTTGGCCGGTCGCGGGCGACGAGACGGGAAACGAGCGGCTCTAATTGATCATTATTGCGGACGTTTTGCAGCGGACAGAGTGATGCAGATTACCACGGAAGCAACGGCCAGGCGGACACCCATTCGTTGCATTCGTCTCATTTGTCTGTCCAGGAGGATCCATTACTCATCCGGAGCCATAAGCAGCAAACTACTCAACAAGTGAGATCCGTTTCCAGTTTTACCAATGGTGTAATTTGCCGATTCCGACGATTTTTCCCTTTACTCGTAACGATCGTTCCCTTCGAACGCATCGTGCTATATCGTTGTCTTTGGTACCCGTGGCACGTTCTTGCCCTTTTGTCGCCATTATTTCCGATATGTTATTCTCAGAGTTACTCGGAATTTTTTCGTATTTTCGAATTCTTCTTTTTGGTTGTTTTTGAAATCCGCGACTGTAGGGATGCATTTAGGATTTTCTGCATTTGTGCAAAAGGATATACGCAATGCATAGAAAAACATGTATGTAAAATATATCTAACGCTGAGACGTATAATGTATAGTAACTTCTAAATATAATATATGAATATATGTTTCTTTAGTGTTAAAAATTTTAATACATCCGCGTTGTTAATAATTAGTTAATAATAATCTTAGAGTTTCGAGAATTTTCTAGATTTATTATTATTCCTTGTTATTATTAAGAATTATCAAATTTCTCGAAGATTTTAATATTCGTTGTTAGTGGAAATTCTTTTGAAATTTTCAGTTCTTTTTGGAATGATTTTTATCAGTGTTGTTGACAATTCCTTGTTTTCTTGTTTCCTAACACCAAATTAAAGAAGTTATCAAAATTTCAAAGGAACTTCAGCGTTATTATAATTTTCGACTCTCTTGAGAAATTTCAATTATTACAAATTTAATATCTATATAAATCTCAATTATATAGAATAATAATATAATAATATAATATAATTATATATAATATAATAATATAATATAATTATATAATAGTATAATATAATA